TATTCCAGCAATATCACGGCGGGGGACACCAGAAATAGGCTTCACACATTGTACCCATGTCGGGAATCGAACCCGGGTCTTCTGCGTGACGAGCGAACGCTTTTAACCACTAGGCTACCCGACCGCCCCTGAAGCAGGGAGACATACATTTGCAATATAAATTACAACACACAACCAGTCAACAAGAAGCTTTCACTACAATCACACCGCGTTCCCAGAGAAAGTGTTAGCTTATGATACATCTTTGCTACTATATGACACACACCATTTGAAAGGTCTGTTTATAAATATGACAGTTATCACATTATTTAAATTAAAGATTTATAACTGAATTAAGTTCGTTTTTGATAAAAAATTAATCTAACACATTCATAACGTTCAGATTAAGCATCAAGGAAATGAAAATTATGGCGATTTTCGGTAATTTTTAAGATTTCATAATGCAGCAATCAACAAACTTATTTCCTTTTTATGTTCATGTTAAAGTAAAATGCTGATAAAAAGATTTTTTTGTACGATCTATCACCACATATTTCCCGAACGTGTGGCCTTCAGCTCAGTGACATGACCTATGTTTAAAATGTGGAAATTCGCGGACATATCGTGCTAGGGTACGACCTGTGACAAAGATTCCTCATGTACATGTTTTGACATTAAACATAGTGTCCGAGACTAAAAGTCGAGGTGACATGTGTCGAAATGTCATTTGATTACATTACACGATCGCATGAAAAGAGTGAGTGAGTGAGTATGGTTTTACGCCGCTTTTAGCAATATTCCAGCAATATCACGGCGGGGGACACCAGAAATGGGCTTCACACACTGTACCCATGTCGGGAATCGAACCCGGGTCTTCGGCGTGACGAGCGAACGCTTTAACCACTAGGCTACCCGACCGCCCCTCGCATGAAAATATGAAAATAGTAAAAATTTATTACTTCATTTAATAATTATTTATTTATGTTTTGCTTGAAACGTATTTATTTGGCTCTTTGATAAATTCGATAAGGGCCCGGTGTCGAAGCATGTGTCCCAGACTATTTCTGTCAATGACATAAAGGGAAATATTCATTATTTTAAATCTATTGATAAAATATAATAAATTGAAATGAAAAACGTATGTTCTGACTTTGTGAAAAGTTATAGATTTAATAAATGAATGATATGGCAGGTACGTTCATAAGACTTTATATTATTTAGACGTGGCTACGGTGTGGCCGGTACATCGCCCTGCTGTGTTGAAAAAGTCAACGAGCGCTGTACTTTGAAACTGGACTCACTTACCATGCTTGCAGCTTATAATAAACTGCAGGCCGTAAGTTCCTGCTGAAACTTAAAACCATCAACCTGAGAACAAATCTGTGAGTGAACAGACTGAACAGACTGAACACTGTCAGACTGAACAGACTGAACGACATGCTCAAACCAAGTCAGCGAGCCTGACCACCCGATCCTATTTGTCACCTCTTAGGATAAGTATAGTCGCCTTTTACGACAAGCGTCAATTTCTGAAGACCAATTCTAACCGGGATCTTCACGGGTTGGCAACATGTAGGCAACTGGGGATCGAACACACGAGCTGCCTGTCCTGGTGGCTAGGCGATGCTTCCCTGTATAATTAGGTCTTCGATTTAGTATGAATGTGACCATTGCGTTTTCTGGCACTGCTATTATTCATAGCCTGGTAGCTGTTAAACGCTAGGACAGCCAATAACGTCAAGACCACAGCTGGCTTAGCTAACTCTCGGTAGGTTCAGTAGATATAAGGTACTGACAAAATACAGATATTAATTACATATCGTAAGTGCTCTGTATTCTTTCAAATAATGTCCTCCCTTTTATTGTCTGACACGCACAAACACCCACAGAGAGCTGATGCAGCCGAATCAAGACATCGCGAACGTGTCAGGACATCATTAGTGTCAATCTCATTAAAGCCAGATCTTTATTCTAGCTATTGCTAAACAAAGATCTGAGGATATCCCATTAAGGGCCACGTCAGAAGGACCTTTTATCCGACCAATCAAAGCGTCGCTAACCAGATCATGAAAGAGACAGTCGGAATGTGTTTTCAAATCATGCAACCTTTAAAACGTTAACACGGGGTATTCCGAACGACAGTTACGGCCCGTACGACTGATCATGATTCCGTCAAAATTATCGTCTGTCTCTCGCTTCCATGGGATAATTATATAAACATTTGAACGGAGGACGCGTTGCACGTGGGTACGTGGGAAGCACTGCCATACAATCGCAACCATATATTATACATTCTGGAATGTTCGTTTGTTCAGTTTTCAAAATTTTAATAGAGATCTGTGTCAACATATTTCTCAAATTGAAGTCGCCAGGTTGAAACGAGTACCGTAAAGCTTGAGAAAGCTGCTTTCTAACTGGATGATGTCGACTTCTTGTTAGTCATTTCAGTGGTCGGTCAATTCGTGAAAGTTCGTTCTGACGTGACCCGTAATGGTGTGACCTCAAATCTTGGTTCACGGGTGGGTGAGAAATCTAACATAAATCAAAGATGAATGAAAATCTTTCAAGAAACAATTTGCGTTCCGTAGTCTTGTTATTTCTTTTTAAATAAAAACATGCGTTGCCACATGGTTTAGTTATATGTTTGATGCATGTTTTAGTATGAATGCTTTAAAAAGGGTGAGGGTGCGCGCCTTCCGTCTGGATCTGGGTTGGTAAACTATCTAGAAACTAACATACAGAACCGCAAATATTTTAACTGTACACTATAAATGGACATGTCTTAGTCACGATAACAAAAGGTCTAAACCTAATGAAAAAGAGGATCTGGGTTGAACTGTTTTGCCTTTGGTGTTTGGTACAGGTCTGAAGAATACACTTGTAATGAATTCCCTCGTGCGTCCTAAGAAAAGGGACATGCATGAGATGCATGTAAGGTCTAAGGGTGTACAACGATCTCCGATATATACAGTCATGTCATGACTACAGAGAGACCAAGGAGATAACGCCAGCAGATATCTGACTGGTCATATCTGGAGGAGCTACACAACGGCAAATTATCGCCAGAGGGAACGTTTTAAGAACACAAAGATCACAAATGATTGGTCTTGTAGTGGATCTCCTACGGTGACCACCCAAACAACTGCTTCGGCAAGAGCTGCAAGACAGGATCTCATCTTCCAATTAGATAGCTCGGCAGCCGGACTGCAACCATCACAGATGTTGATACAGTTAAGGGAAGACTTCCTGGCGACTAGCCCGCGTTGCTTTCCTTGAAGCTAGCAATCGTTATAGCAGAAAGCACTGGGCAATGCTAAAATGCATTGGCGAGAGCAACAAAGAAGAACAACCCCTTTCTCAGATGAGACCAGATACTGCATTTCCAAACGAGACAACCGAGGTACAGTTGGAGCAGCCGAGGCGTGTGGGAGTCAGATGCTTGTTTTCTAGATACAGATCCTGAGTAGCCAAGGATACGAGGTGCCTGAACTAGCGAAGTGGGCGCATTATCTTCAACAATATTTGACCAGGCAATGGCGTTAGTGCTCGCTGGTGCATCGACCAAGTCCTAACAACAGGGACTAACAGAATACTTCCACCAGAGTCTTCTATGGCCAGCACTTATTCCAGATATAAATACAATTGAAGAATATGGGATAGAGTCTCCTCCTCAACCAAGTGCGTCACGCATCCAGGAAATTCACGGATCTTCGTGTCGCTATTCTACAGATATGTGGTTCAGACACCAAGTGTCCTCGAAGTGTACTGGTTGACGTCATGAACTCATATGTTCAATCAAACTATATTTACGTTTCTTTTGTTCAGTAAATAACGTACGCATGATCCATTTTAGATACAGGTAAGTCGGAAGACAGACCACCTATACCAGATTCCAGAGAGAGAGAGAGAGAGAGAGAGAGAGAGAGAGAGAGAGAGAGAGAGAGCATTCTGGTCCAAAGGTCGATATACAACAGGCTTGCAATATCTAATTATTCAAAGAATTACATTAATAATTGTAATCTTAGATTTTCAGGTTTATCATTTTTAGTATACACCAACGTGGAATAAACTAATTTTGAATTATAAAACAGGGATTAAGTCAGATGAAGACGCTTCAGGGATTGAACCATGTTTCAGTTCGCTGTAAGGGCAAACCAGAGGGTCATTTGTCATCCAACCAGGACACCTGAAACACGCAAGTAGATTTGTCAACAACAATCTAAGATCAAATCAATCTCCTGCGATATGTCCTCTTCAAAAAATGTGTAGACATAAACCTGAAATTAATTGAGTGAACGCGTTCTGACGTCCCAGTCAGAAATAAACCTGCTGTGTCACAGCAGCCTGTAAATAAACGAATCTGGACCAGACAAGCCAATGGTCGATATGATGAGCACCTTCCAGTCACCAGCATGACAACCCGAACCATCTTGGTCGACAGGTAGAGTTTTCAGGGTACCAATCTAACAAGTTATGGTTTGATTTTACGAACCCATTTTAGAAAATATTTTAGAATATGTACTCCTTGTAATGAGAAAATATACATCTCGATGGATAATAACTTCTGGTTTATTGCGGGCGGTGGCGTACCCTAGTGGTTAAAGCTAGGGTCCACGCCGAAGACCCGTGTTCGATTCCCCACATGTGTTTAACTTTTGAGGCCCATTTCTGGTGTCCCTCGCCGTGATGGAATATTGGTAAATGCGGCCTAAAACCATACCCACTCACTCTCTCACTCTGGTTTATTGTTTTTAGCGACGTTTCGTTGTAGATTTATTGCCAAACAAAAATATCTTAGAAATAAATTGTAAATCTTATACCTTTCAATCATAATTGTTTGGTTTGTTAATTTCTTAAATATTTTCTTAAATTTTAGTATTGTTAATTTGTTATGGAATGGTATATATTGTAAGCTTAGTCTTGAATGATCCAGAATGTAATAATTTTAACAAAACGTACCGCTAAGAGAGTATCCTTTAATTTATAGATAAGTCCCCTTAGTAGAGCCCTCTTACCGGTAGATGGCGCCAATATGTGGACAGAACCAATCAGAGCTTGGGAAGTCTTCCCGAAAAACGGAAGCATCTTGTCTGAAAATCGGCTAAAAGTGTCACAGGAGTGATGGTAGCAGGCTTGCATATACCCTCGGAAGTTGGCTGAAATGTAGAAATTGGGCTGAACGTCACGTTCAAGATTATTTCACTTATATAGCGACGTACATGTACATACACGTGAATGTTTGCACTAGTCTGACTTATGGTGCGTGGTAACAGTGCTAGCCCACTGAGATATCTGACTCCGAGCCGACAGTCCTTATTGTATCCCCCTAATGCCGAGCGCCAGGCAGGGTAAAACAAGCACCATTTTTAACGTACAGTAAACTACGGTTATAACGAACTCAAAAGGACCACAAATTTTAGTTCGTAATAACCGTAGTTCGTTACACGCATATATGCAGCATATGCACAACAAATAGCCGGGACTAAAAAATAAGTTCGTTATATCGGTCCAGTTCGTTATAAGCGTGTTCGTTATAAACGTAGTTTACTTTATTTTGGTATGTCACGGCCAGGGGATCGAACCCCGGACGTTCCGTTCTCCGACCGAGCAAACATTCTATCCAGTAACTATATAAAAAAACATCAACGTTAGAGACAAATAAGTCTTAGTTATCCGCCGAAACAGAACTCGATGGGCGTGAAAGGAAACACAGCGGTGAAAATTATATGAATGGACAAATGGACATACGTAATGGCACCAAGTGTTTGCGAAAAGGGTAAGCATGTCCTACCCTGCTGACAGCAGAAAACACGGTTCACCCCGATTATGTTTCTAGGCTTGTCAGCACCAAAGTGGTAAACGTCTGAGACCTGCATCACTTCGGGCTTTTCTCCCACGTTAAGCTGACTCGCAGTGATATGTCTGAAATACTGTTCAAAGCGGCGTTATTCAGAATTCAGTCAGTCAGTCACTCACTCACTCACTCACTCACTCACACACTCAATCAATCAATCAACCACTCAATCGACCACTCACTCACTCAGCTGACGAAAGATATTTTCATGATATGTGTCCGAATAACAATCTCTGTCTCAGAAGTCACAGTACCAGCTCACACACTTCATTCATTACAAGGGATAACGCACACACAAAACAGTATCTGGTTAGAATTCAGTTTCGACAGGATAATAAATGAAAGCGACAAGACCTTCCCTATTCATAACATTAACACATTAAATAAAACTAATGTTTAAACTAACTTCTTTTATGTTTCATGATGAATTATCTATACCTAGTTTAATGTCCGAACAATAGAATATGAACGAATTTATTTGTTGTATGAGATCGACTAATACTTTTCTCATTTACAGCCAATTCTTTTTCCTTACTAATTTCATCAATGTTTCTGACTCCGAAAGTGCCAGAAATTATGGCTATTATAGAGACATTCACTGGAAAGCAATGTTTCCAAATGCAGCCAACCACGGGTCTCTGTTTCAAATGGCTCGGAAGCAGTTAATTCATTATCATTTGTACATATCTATGCAGTACAATCAACGTCTTATATCCACACATTCTTTTAATTTTAACCCATCTAATTATTTTACAAACACTCCTTTGCAAATAATTACTCCTTAACCCAAAACATTACCTGTGTCCGTTAGGAAGATTGCCCTCAAACCATTTAATCAGAAAGGATAATGATCACTCCTCGTTAGTTCATGGAAGATCATGCATTGCTGCTGTGTTACTGTCGGGCCACTGAGAACGGTGATGTAAACCTTCTCAATCTCGAACTCAGGTGGACCCAAGGTGGTGTAAGAAGTGACGAAGGCGTCAAGGACGTCAGAGTCGTAGGGCCGACCAATCTCCCTTTTTTGCCGTTAGAGTTATGGCTGCTCACACTACCTGGGACCATCTGGAGACAGATGCGGATTTGGCTTCATGGCACGTTAGAGCTCACCACAGGATAAACATTGTATTTGAGTAATGTTTCAAATTATTACTTTTTTATACTTTATGTTGGCTTGTACAGTTAAGGTTATGTGAGAGAATATTTGCATGTTATCGTTATAGAATCGCAATTGTACTTGTCCTTAGAGAACCATGCTTGTCACAAGAACTGACTAAATCGGGGGCCGCTTGTGTATAGCTGACGGTTTTTAATACAAGAAGCGTTATAATTTGAGAATACTACCAGCCCCACCCCACCACACCCCACCACACCCCACCACACTACACCACACCACACCACACCACACACCACCACACCACACCACACCACACCACACCACACCACACCACACCACACCACACCACACCACACCCCACCACACCCCACCACACCACACCACACCCCACCACACCACACCACACTACACCACACCACACCACACCACACCCCACCACACCACACCACACCACACCACACCACACCACTCCACTCTACTCTACTCTACAAACTACGCTACACACTACACTACACTACACTACTCAATACACTACGCTACAAACTACACTCACTACACTACACTACACTACACTACACTACACTACACTACACTACACTACACTACACTACACTACACTACACTACGCTTGGGGAAGGGGTAAGATGATTGTTGGGTTGCTTTGAAGCGGTTGATAAGATATGATTATGTATACCAATCAAAATTATTCCGACTGTTTTGATCAATGTCACTGAGAAAATTCAAACTATTGATGGTTTGATAAATGTCAGCCTCCACTCATTCTCAAACATTATGATTGTTTTCACATAAAATATTTCTTTACGTATGTGCTTCACACAAGTGTTCAGATACTTCAGATCATAAGATGTTTCCAACCACCAATCATTTCTAAACATTACATTTCTTTTAAATTGTTGTACTACACACAACAACTGCACTTATTTCTGAATTGTTTGATAGGCATTACTTAGAAGTTGATGGATGACAAAGTAGACAAAATATTATGGATAACAACTTCTTTAATACTGTAAAGGCGACGTTTCGATATAGATCCTTATACCGTTGTCAACCATGACGTTTCGATATACATTCTTATACCGTTGTCAAGCAAGACGTTTCGATATAGATCCTTATGCTTTGTGTCTTGCTTGACAACGGTATAACGATCTATGCCGAAACGCCGCCTATGCAGTATTAAAGAAGTTGTTATCCATAAAAATGTGTCTACTTTGCACTTATTTCTGTTTCCATCAAGATTGCATTTTGGCCATCTTGTGACATTGGACTATCACAAAGGTTACCAACAGCCAATTCAACTTTTAATCATATGTGTTCTATCATAAAGTCTCTAATTTGTTCTGTCATAAGCAGTTTGCAAGCTGCTACCATAAGTAGTATTAAGCTGTATTTGCCATTGAAACGCGATCGCCCCGATTATGTTTCTAGGTTTGTCAGCACCATACCCGTGCTCGTGGGTTTCACCGAAGTGGTAAACGTCTGAGACATGCATCACTTCGGGCTTTCCTCCCACATTAAGCTGCCACGCCGCGATATAACTGGAATACTGTTAAAAGCGGCGTTAAACCCAACTCACTCACTCACTCACTCACTGAAACGCGATCGCCATTTTGAACATTTTAAAATGAAAACTCCATAGCTACCTTGGCGTAAAGAACGTCATCTGTTCAGCATAGATGTTTTCAGTACTTAAGCTCACATTAACAAGGTAACAATATACTAACAAACAAGCAAATCAAACGATTTGTCAATCGGAAAAGAATTTGCTGATGTTTTATATTTCACATAGATGTTGAAATAGGAATAGAAAAACCAAAGAAATTATTATCAAGACAACACTTTGCTGAAGGTTTTGAAGTTCCATGACATTGCTGGAGTATGCTTAGCATTTTCAAACGTATTGTCTCTCAATAATCGGAATGATATGTGTAAACTTAACCTACTTTCCTCCCATTCTTCAAAATCAAAGGCGACGAAGATCACGATGAAGTCTCACCCGAACCTGGCTAGATGTTTGGCAGCTTGCAGCATGGCAACGACAGCAGCACCAATGTCATCAACGCCTGCATGAAGTGAATGTTTGTGCAAAGTGAGAGCTGCAGTCTGATCATTTAAGGACATTTGTGCAGAGTTGGGCACGCCAGAAACCTATGATTGTGGGTTCGAATCCACGTTCGCCCCAATTATGTTTCTAGGTTTGTCAGCACCATACCCGTGCTCGTGGGTTTCACCGAAGTGGTAAACGTCTGAGACATGCATCACTTCGGGCTTTCTTCCCACATTAAGCTGACACGCCGTGATATAACTGGAATACTGTTAAAAGCGGCGTGAAACCCAACTCACCCACTCATTTAAAGACATCTTTTGCTTTCGGAATATTTGCTGCATTTGTACTTCAGCTGTCTTTTCTACTTAGAGATAACTAAAAAAAACATAGATTCTATACCCCACTTTAATTTGCATTCAATGCGTGCATTAGTATTACTGGTCTTACCAAATAAGAATATGCAAAATAGATAACATAAGATTTGATACGTCAAAACAGCTATGCCATAGCGAAATGAAGTATGGAGTTAGACACCGAAAAGTGCAGTATCTGTTAAAATGCACATCACATACTTACTGTTTGGCAAAATTCATGTTAAATGCACAAAAGGCAGAGAAATCGGCATAGCTTATCCTTTTCACTGGAGATGTTTGAACTGGAATTTTGCGAGCACATTTTCCAGGCACACATATACACATAAGTTCATTTTTTAGCCCAAGAAGTTTTAGACATGTTTACATAAATCCAGTAAACTAGGCATATGATGTTCTTCTGCAAATCACATACGTATTGTAAATTATAGTGCAGGATGATAGGTGAGGTGAGGTGAAATTGGGTTTAACGTCGCGTCTAAGATTATTGCACTTATATAGCGACGTGCATGCACGTGTGTGTGTGTGGCTGCTTGTACTAGTCCGGACTGATGCCGATTTAGAGTGCTAGCTCACTGAGATACCATGCCGCAGTTTAGCATGAATACCCCACTCAGACACAGTATACTGACTCCGAGCCGACCAGTCCGTGTTTTAGCCCCTTAATGCCGAGCGGCAGACAGGGTAACAACAAGTACCATCTTTTAACGTCTTTTGGTATGACGCGGCCGGGGATCGAACCCCGGACCTTACGCTCTCCGGGCGGACGCTCTACCACTAGACCACGGAGGCGGTCATGCAGGATGATACATGTTAAATGCAGGGAAAAGGTTAATACGAGTAATGATACTGCAAACATGATACTGCAAAATGATACTGCTTTGGCTTGTTAGGCATGTGTGACTTATTTATAGAAACATTTTTGCTGAGATTATTTTGGTGCGTGTGAAAGTTAAAGGGGAAAAATGTCAAATCAACATATATTATATATGAATACCACTTATATGATGTCACCCTTGCTGCATGCATTTTAGAATAATGATATGTGCAAAATGGGTAAATATGGCTGCCATGACCACAATGGTTACATTTGGATCGGAATTTCAGAGACATCCTCACTGGGATCCCCCACTCATAATGTCAGCATTATGGGTCTTGTGATTTGTGAGGAAATGTCGAAAATGCAAAAGTCTTCGACGCAAGGACGACTGGATATCTTGAACATTTGGTTCAGGTCAGGATACATGAAAAGCAAGTGAATGACTGAGTGAGTGAGTGTTGCCGTGGTACCACGACTGTCAACAGTATTTTCACTATATCACGAAGGGATGTAAGCATTTGAGCATGGACATCATTAGCTGATCGTATTATCGACGTCTCTCGCAGCCCGGGAAAGAATCATCTGTTATCGACAATCCTAGAAAACAAATAAATTGTCCGCAGGGTTTACAAAACAATATGGAATCGTACACGGGACATACTGGTTGTTCAGAAAATTAATCCCTTGGTTGGCCCAGGGTGCCGTGTACCAATTGCAATAAGATTCCCGTGTCAGTGGTGACCTTTCAATCTCACTTAGCACGGAATCTATTAGCTCATGAGCGTTATTTGTCTGAACTGTTATTTGTAGAATCGTGTAATTTTAATCAAAGCAAGCTCTTGCAGCCAATAGGAAAAGGTATATATTAAGAAAGTGAGTGAGTATGGTTTTACGCCGCTTTTAGCAATATTGCAGCAATATCACGACGGGGGACACCAGAAATGGGCTTCACACATTGTACCCATGTGGGGAATCGAACCCGGGTCTTCGGCGTGACGAGCGAACGCTTTAACCACTAGGCTACCCGACCGCCCCATATTTTATGAAAGAATATAGATGCATGTATACTATATCCCTTGGATAATCTAGGATTAGGTTCAAAGTGTGGGAGAAGTCTCGCGATGCGACACATGTCCTGTATGACACAGTGAGTGAGTGAGTGAGTGAGTGAGTGAGTGAGTGAGTGAGTGAGTGAGTGAGTTTGGCTTAACGTCGGTTTGAACAGTCAGCCAGTGACTGGCTGGTATGCTGGTCTTAGACATTAAACACTTGGTGAAACCTACGAGCACGGGTATGGTGCTGACAAACCTAGAAACATAATCGGGGCGAACCTTGATTCGAACCCTTGATCATAGGTTTCTGGCGTGCCCAAGGGACGCAACTTTGCACAGGTGTTGTAATGGGAATGGGCGGGTAGTTTAACTGACGATCGAATGTTTTACTGTTATTCGAATCGGAATCAAAACATAACTGTGGCGATTGGGGGGGGGGGGGGGGGGGGGCAGTCGTCTAAGGCGCCGCGATTCACTATGCAGGATTGCGTCCCTTGGGCACGCCAGAAACCTATGATTGTGGGTTCGAATCCACGTTCGCCCCAATTATTTTTCTCGGTTTGGCAGCACCGTGCACGTGCACGTGGGTTTTACCGAAGTGGTAAACGTCTGAGACCTGCATCACTTCAGGCTTTCCCCCCACATTAAGCTGACACGCCGTCATATAACTGGAATACTGTTAAAAGCGGTGTTAAACCCAACTCACTCACTCATGATTTAGGTCTGTGCGATGTCACCGATAGGGCAGGTTACGCTGAAGCAAAGGTATCTTTATTGTTTTGCGGTCGATGATGTTTTATCTGTCATATTTTGTAAACTACACATTATTCACACAAAAATATTTACATGGATACCACTGATGATAAATGTACAAGCGTTTAAAAAAAACACCTGAGGTGCAAATAGTTACCGCAGAAAGGCAAACGTACTTACCTGTCACCAAAAGGACGAGGCACGATGTACATGCAATCATTTTAAAATTCCGATTGTTACTTGGACAAATGTCGTCCCCGAAGTTATGAAGAGACTGTTTAAAGCTATGCGGTATTATCTGTGCGTCGCAAACCAGCTGTCAGAAGTACAAGACCACATTGAAGGTATTTGTTATATTAATAAACTTCAGCACTCCCGCAGAACCCAGGACAGAGTGAACAAAGTTTAGACTGTTGCACGGTAGCTCAGGTTTGGTTGATTACGTTGCAGCTTTTTAAACACTGTCCTTGCACATACGACAAACTAACACCTATGTGTACGAGACCGCCTCCGTGGTCTAGTGGTAGAGCGTCCGCCCGGAGAGCGGAAGGTCCGGGCTTCGATCCCTGGCCTCATCATACCAAAAGACGTTAAAAGATGGTACTTGTTGTTACCCTGTCTGGCGCTCGGCATTAAGGGGCTGAAACAAGGACTGGTCTGCTCGGAGTCAGTATACTGTGTCTGAGTGGGGTATTCATGTTAAACTGCGGCATGGTATCTCAGTGGGCTAGCACTATAAATCGGCATCAGTCCGGACTAATACAAGCAGCCACACACACACGTACATGCACGTCGCTTTATAAGTGCAATAATCTTTGACGCGACGTTAAACCCAATTTCACCTCACCTCACCTATGTGTACGAAGGACAGATAACAACTGCTCAGTCGTAACCTTAATAATTGAGTGTGTGACATGACTGCGGAGAATCGAACCCGGGTTTCGTTGTGAAGCGTCAAGGCGTTAACATCTGGGCTACCTTATCGCCCCAGTTACCTTTTGTCACGCGCAATGAATTTAGATATTGACCGCGTGTAGATATATTCAGGTAGGTACATACATGAAATTGTTCACGAACACCTACATTTAAATAAATATAAGCTAAGAAGCATTTACACTGTATGGAAAAATACAAGACGTACAAAGTCTTCAAGACATTACTATGGAGCTGACGTTATCTTGCGTTACTAGATAAAGACGTGGAATTACAGTAATGCACAGCTGTTTATATTTCGCGAAATGTCCGCAGTTGTGGGTGTCATGGTGGCCTGTAAATAATGGATCCTGGACCAGGCAAACAACTGACTGTAAACATGATCATATGTCTAGGTCATTGAGTCTATCTCTTTCAACTCTGACAATACAGTAAACTCAATTATAACGAACACGCTTATAACGAACTAACGGATATAACGAACTAACTTTTTAGTCCCGACTACATGCTGTAGTTAAGCTGTATATATGCTTATAACGAATTACGGTTATAACGAACTAAAATTAGTAGTCGCTTTGAGTTCGTTTTAACCGTAGTTTACTGTATAGTAATACTAAATACGTCGCCTTTTATGACAAACATGGGATACCGAGTGCATATTCTTTCCGAAGTTCCCATGTTGCCACAATAGTCCATAGACTAAGCAAAGAAAATTTGCACTTTTTGATACAATACAAGTTTGAAATTTGGCATTCAGCTGATATGTCCCGACACAATTGGATTCAAGACTCGACCCTAACCATATTTGACCTCTGACGACCTTGGCGGCCATTTTGAACACTATCAAGTGAGTTATTGTGGAGAAGTAGTGTGTGAGTCATTCACGACGAGAAGGTTCGTGTGAGTTGGGTTTAACTCCCCTTTAAGCAGTAATTAGTTATGTCAAGGTATGCGAGCTTATTGTTGAAGGACGCCACAACGTCATGCAGGTCTTACACTTCTTGCCTCTTCACAAACCACGTGAGTGAGTGAGTGAGTGAGTGAGTTGGATTTAACGCCGCTTTTTACAGTATTCCAGTCATATCGCGGCGTGTCAGCTTAATGTGGGAGGAAAGCCCGAAGTGATGCAGGTCTCAGACGTTTACCACTTCGGTGAAACCCACGAGCACGGGTATGGTGCTGACAAACCTAGAAACATAATTGGGGCGAACCGGGATTCGAACCCACAATCATAGGTTTCTGGCATGCCCAAGGGACGCAACTCTGCACAGCGAATCGCGGCGCCTTAGACGACTTGGCCACCCGTGCCCCCTCACAAACCATGGATCACAATAAGGGGGAATATGGGATTCGAACCCACAATCGTTGAACCATGGCAGACCTAAGGGACGCAACGGCTAGAAAACAGAAACTTTACCGATGAGTTCCTAAATAAGATTGTTACTGGAGAACTGGAATTACATGTAAAAACAATTCGAGAAAAACAAAAGGTTAATACTTATTCTTCTTCATATGCTGCAAAGCCAATTAATTAAAGAAATGGATACTCTTAATAAGGTAGATGCTTTTATCTTAGATAATGAAACAACAAAAGGATACACCACTAGGAATTGAAGAGAGAGAGAGAGAGAGAGTGAGTGAGTGAGTGAGTGAGTGAGTGAGTGAGTGAGTGACTGAGTGACTGAGTGAGTGAGTGAGTGAGTGAGTGAGTGAGTGACTGAGTGAGTGAGTGTGTGTGTGTGTGTGTGTGTGTGTGCGTGTGTGTGTGTGTGCGTGTGTGTGTGTGAGAGAGAAAGAGAGAGAGAGAGAGAGAATGGTTTTACGCCATTTTAAGCAATATTCCAGCAATATTATAATTTACCCGTATTGGAAATTGAACCCAGGGTTTCGGCGGAACGAACTAGCGCTTTAGCCTCTTGGTTACCCCACCGCCTAGAAATTATAGGAATTTTGACAATATTTTATTCAAATATAATAGGAGCCCTGGCTCGGATGGTTTTCCTTTGACTTCTAAATGAATCTAGACAACAAAACAGACCAGGATTACTAATATTATTGATTTTGAAGAAGTGTTTAATTCTTTTGTCAAAGAATCTCCATAAGTTATTCTAATTCTATTACTTTGGCCCCAACATAATCTATTTCCAGAAACATGGTAAACTTTTGTACACGAACCTTGATCAACATCAGACGTTTACCACTTCGGTGAAACCCACGAGCACGGGTATGGTGCTGACAAACCTAGAAACATAATCGGGGCGAACCGGGATTCGAACCCACAATCATAGGTTTCTGGCGTGCCTAAGGGACGCAACTCTGCACAGCGAATCGCGGCGCCTTAGACGACTGGGCCCCCTGTGCCCCCAGGAGAGTGAGGATGTACCAATGGGAGAGTTAACAATTTCACAAAATCATTTTGTGAATGAAAGTATTTGAAAACAACAGTGACCAGAGTATACAATGTACACAGAGAGAAAGAGAACATCTTAATCAAAAGTGTCAATGTCAATGTCAATGTGCGTTACAATTATGGGCGTTCTGTTACGGATCTGGACGTTAAATATTTGTTTCCCGACTGTCCAAATTCTTTAATACCGTAACCAGCTCGGGATGATTGATTTAATGAATTCTGCGTCCGGAAACTAGAATACAATACAACAAAAAGACTCAATTCCGTACATGCAGAGAGTTTATTACAGGCGAAGGTATTTGTCGCCTTGTTGAAGCATCATCCACATCAGCATGACCCCTGTAGAACATCTACAGCAGCGTGACCCATGTACAACATCTACAGCAGCGTGACCTCACTACAACATCTACAGCAGTGTGACCCCACTACAACATCTACAGCAGTGTGACCCCACAACAACATCTACAGCAGTGTGACCCCACAACAACTTCTACAGCGTGACCCCACAACAACTTCTACAGCGTGACCCCACTACAACATCTACAGCAGTGTGACCCCACTACAGCATCTACAGCAGTGTGACCCCACTACAACATCTACAGCAGTGTGACCCCACTACAACATCTACAGCAGTGTGACCCCACTACAACATCTACAGCAGTGTGACCCCACTACAACATCTGCAGAGTGACCCCACAACAACTTCTACAGCGTGACCCCACAACAACATCTACAGCGTGACCCCTGAACAACATCTTCAGCGTGACCCCTGAACAACATCTACAACAGCGTGGCCCCACTACAACATCTACAACTGCGTGCCACCTGTACAACATCTACAACTGCGTGACCCCCGTACAACATCTACAACAGCGTGGCCCCACTACAACATCTACAACAGCGTGGCCCCACCACAACATCTACAACAGCGTGAACCCTGTACAACATCTACATCAGCGTGCCACCTGTACAACATCTACAACAGCGTGGCCCCACTACAACATCTACAACAGCGTGGTCCCACCACAACATCTACAACAGCGTGAACCCTGTACAACATCTACAAAAACGTGACCCCGTACAACATCTACAACAGCGTGACCCCTGTACAACATCTACAACAGCGTGCCACCTGTACAACATCTACAACAGCGTGACCCCTGTACAACATCTACAACAGCGTGGCCCCTGTACAACATCTACAACAGCGTGGCCCCTCTTAAAATGACTTCGAATGCCATTACAGTCCCTATTGTGATCCATAATCTGTTGCGACCTATGTATACATGTGTTCGTCGAAAAGGTGAACGCCGATGGGTTGCTACGAATAGACTTACACAATGTCATATGACTGAAATATTGTCCATAACGGCGTAAAAATTAAAAAAATGCCACATGTTTCAAATTATACAATTAATGGTATCACATTTCAACACAGATAAAACAATTGTTTGATTGTATAATCCTGTACAATAACACAAACAGCTGACCTATTTACTGGTAATTGTGACGTTTGGCTATAAGAAAAAAGATTAACACGTTTTCAGCGATATCACTATGTGCAGCTGATGTGTGTATATAGGAGAAACCATGTCTCCGAGGGATTACTAGAGATTGTAAACCCTCACATGAGGGACGTTCCCGAATGTGAGGGTTTACAATCTCTAGTAATCTCGAGGAGACATGGTTTGTCCAACTTATGAACCGACTCATCGCATAGACAACGTTCTTAATTAAATAACTGTAATAAAAACTCTCCAATGTATAACCTGTATCGGAGATGAAATATCGCCTGCAGTCGTGAACTCGGTTCAATGAAACCGGTAACCTCAGCACGTGGGTTTCGCAAGGGTGCCAAATCTGCACGTGCGTCTCGCAATGGCACGAAATCTGCACGTGCGTCTCGTAGGCTGTTCGTAGTTTTTGATCTATCAAGGGTTTACAATGATTGTAAGCCCTCCTGCGAGGTGTTACAATCGTTGTAATACCTCCTGCGAGGTGTAACCACAATGTCAAAAACTCCATATCGAGTACAGCCAGTAGGTTTATAACTAAATATAAACCTCGCTGACAGATGTTTGAAGACTAAAGTACCCCCAGTGGACGGTATACACGCTGTTGAGTGACACTC